TATTCACTAAACTTTTTACACGCATTCTTACTCTTTATCTTTCTCACTACTCTCACTACCTCTCCTCTTCCTTTTCCTTTTCTTTTTTTACTTTCTCTTTTTTGTTTGTTTTCTTTTTTTTCTTTTCCTTTTCTTTCTTTTTCAACGTTTTCTTTTTTGCTCTTTTTCCCCGCCTCATCCTCCTCTACTTCTTTTTCTTCTTTCTCTTCTTCTTCCTCCTCCTCCTCCTCTTTCACTTCCTCCTCCTCCTCCTTTTCTACCTCCACCTCCTCCTTCTCCTCTTCCACATCCTAGTCATTCTCCTCTTCCTCCTCCTCCTTATCATCATCACCATCACCACCATTACCATCCCCATCAACATCATCACCACCATGACCATCATCACAACCCTCATCATCATCACCATCATCCCCACCATCATCATCACTATCCCACCCCAATCTTCCTCCCTCCCAATTCCCCCCTTCAACATGATCCCTCTCCCTATCTTCTCTTCTTCCCACTTCCCACTCCGTCATTCCCTTAATTCCCCACCTCCTCTCTCCTCCTCCTCCATTCTCTCTCACCTTCGTAATGGGCACCGACTCCCCCGTCAGCATGGCCTCATTGACGACCACGCTGCCCTGGAGTACGACGGCGTCCACCTCCATACGACCCAGTCCGTCGGCGATCAGCATCACGTCGCCAGGCACGAGTTCACGGGACGAGAGGGAGGTTTCTGGTGGGTGGGCGAGAGGTGAGGTGGGTGAGAGGTGAGTGGGTTTTAGTGTTTGAGTGGGGTTTTGGGTGGGTGAGAGGTGAGTGGGGTGTTGAGAGGTGAGTGGGGTTTTAGTGTGGGTGGGTGAGTGGTTTTAGTGGGTGGGTTGGAAGGGTGTTTTAATCGCTTATTTTTTAGCTGTTCTTGTTGTATGTGTGTGTGTGGGGGGGGGGGGTTGAATGGGAGTTTTAATCGTTTATTTTTGAGCTGTTGATGTTTTTTATTATACATTTTAGTGCTGTTGCTACTGACGTGATTGAGGGTTTTAATCGTTTACTTAAGGGCTGTTTTCATCATTTTCATTAATCTTTTTTAATCGTCTTTTTTAGAGACGTTTTCATTATTTCCATTATTTGTTTCAAGTTTTTATTATCTATTTTAGGGTTGTTGCTGCTGAGTTGAGTGAGGATTTTTATTATATATTCTTATGCCTATGCGATGGGTAGATGGAATTCAGTGGGTTTTTTTTTAAGTAATTAATTTTGGTTCTGTTTCTATGGGTGAATGGGGCTGAGTGGGTCTTATAGTTATTGATGGGCAGTTTCAAGTTCATTTAAATAATCATTTTTGGGGTATGATCGGGGCAGAAAATCAGAGGATCCTTGACTAACACGTCGGGAAACAATATTTTTTGTCTAGACTCGTTGCTATCATGAGATAAATATAATCAACAGGTGGGTTTAATCTGATAAAGCTGTCTTGCTGACTTCCGCCTTTAAAGTTATATTATATATTATATTATATATATCTAGGTTTATATATTTTTCTAGGGGAAAGGTGAGACTCACTTCCTCTTTATTCTGTTATTGCTGTTTAGTGACTTTTTGAAAAATTATATTACTGTTATCATTAACGCTTATGTTTACCAGGAACAGCATTAGAAAAAAAATAATAACAGTCGTAAAGAGTAGTAAAATTAGTAGTAGCAGTGACAGCGAACAGTGAAGTAGTTATAAATAATACCACTATTCCTTGGCGTTATCATTATGATCGCCACCAACACCCTCGTCACCATCATCGCTAACAACATACTCATCCCCATCATCATCATATAAACATTACTATCCAAATCCTCAGCAGCAACAATCGTTACCACCATCAACATCTTGAAAACCACCACAATCACGACAATCCAACATCATCACCAAAACCACCACCACAATCACGACAATCCCAATCCCCAATCAAGCCATACGAGGTACTCACTCTGGCCGTCCCTTAACACCGTAACTTGTGACTGGGATGTGACCGTCTTCCTCAGGGCGCGACTTTGCTGTAGGACATGGCATCAGGAGTCAGAAATGTGTATTGAATGAACAATTTGAAGAAGGGAAAAAATATCAGTCATTATAGAATAATGAATTATTTTTCAGAATGTTCTTTTTGATACTTTCTGAACTGAACTGTGTATATATACATTTAGAGAATAATTATGTGCCATTATCAGTATGCTGATCAAAATCAAATATGCATGGACATTTTAGATACCGCTAAACACACAAAATATCTTTTACTACAATCCAGTGCCAATCAAAGCATGCGTTTCTGTTTAATCATATAATGCAAACATTGATGTTAAGGCATATATATATATACATATCTGTGTGTGTGTGTGTGTGTGTGTGTGTGTGTGTGTGTGTGTGTGTGTGTGTGTGTGTGTGTGTGTGTGTGTGTGTGTGTGTGTGTGTGTGTGTGTGTGTGTGTGTGTGTGTGTGTGTGTGTGTGTGTGTGTGTGTGTGTGTGCGTGTGCGTGCGTGTGCTGTGCGTGTGCGTGCGTGTGTGTGTTTACGCCTAGTATGTGCGCGATGGGTCCCAAGAGTAATGCAACACACAAAATACTCTAAATACTCCCTCGAGGCCACACTCCAACACAAAACCTATTCTTCGCACTTCTCGAAGACCGCGGGAGTCCTCTTTAGTGAGGCAGGAGGTCAACGCCTGCAGTGCCCGCTGAATCTCAACCCTGCCCACGAGCCTCTTGCCCCTGCGACCCCTCTGTGGGCAATTTTCTGACGAAGCATGGCACCCCATCGGCCCCCAACACTAACAGGTAGGATGCAGATTCAGCAGGCATCCTAGACCTTGACCTCCTTCCTTCCTAACGACTTCCAGAGCTGCTTCCAAGAACGGGAGGAACAGATTCAGCACTTCGTTATGGCCTCTCGTGAGTATTCTGGGAATGGCTGAAGTTACACAGTATCATTCAGAAAAATTCAGGCCATAAGCATTTTGTAGAGGACATAAAAAAAATCACAAGATAGCTCAACATGTGTAAAAAAAAAAAAAAAGAAATGGTTGAAGATTACAGAATTAATCTCTGGATACACCACAAGGAGAATTAATCGGTTTCCCCTGAAAAAATAATAACAAAGGGCATTGTACCGAAAAATAGTGCGTTTACAGACTTTCAGAATGGCAGGGTTCAGCTGAAAAAATAACCACACCTCAAATCAAAGAACACTTCTCAACCCTTGATTCAGACCAGAAGTGGTACCTCTGATATGAGGCACAGAAGGGGTAGGCTTCCTGGCCCGAAGCCTACATCTCTATTTACAACTAAGACTGCAAACACATTAATATATACTCATTTTGTCTTCGAAACGCTCAACAAATACAATAAGCAGTGAAGTATGCTAAGAATACTAGTATATACATTACACCCATACACACATACAGACACTCACACACGCGTGTGTGTGTGTGTGTGTCAAGTAGTTTCACCTATACAAAAAAATAAATGTTTACTTTTATGCATTTAGTCAGTACCTTTTCATTTGCATAGGAAATGAGATAAAAATGAAAAAGTAACAGTGATACTAATATTGATGATGATTATGATGATGATGATAAGGATCATCATTTTTATTATTAACATTATTATTAGTAGTATTGCTGTTATTATTATAATTACTATTATTAGCATTATTGTCATGATTATCATTACTATTATTATCATCATTATTACTATTACTATTAGTATTATTAGTATTATTATTATCATTATCATCATTATCATTATTATTATTGTTATTATTATTATCATTATTATCATTATCATTGTGTCTATTATCATTATTACTATCATCACTATTATCATTATCTCCACCATTACCATTATCATCACCATCACTACTATCATCACATTGTCTTTACTATCTTTATTAACATCATCATTACCATAATTATTAATCTTATTATGCTCATGATCATCATAATTATCATCATCACGATTATTACCATTATCATTGCTACTGTCTTTATTGTTAGATTTTTTATTATCAATATGTGATAACATTGTAATAATCATTAACACAAAATCAAAACTTCAAAGTAATCAAGATAAAAAAATCACACAACAAAAAACAAAAACACAAAGCAAAAGCAAACGGAAAAAGCCAACGGTACATGTTTGTTAAAGTGAAAACGAAGAATCGCGAGTTACCTTAATTATTCTGTACAGCAAGTATGTAAATGATAATATGGCCAGTGACAGGAGACCCAGACCTTTCTTATAATAGCCTTGTATACACCATATCATTACAGCAAACAGTTGGAACATGTAGAGCGGAATGTAAGTCTGCAAAGTGTACAATATGACATGTTACTTTTGAGAGGGAAGAGTCAGAGAGCAGTGGTCTGCGGGGTTAAAGTTTTTATTATTGGTGGGCGGGGTTAAAGTTATTTTCGTTGGTCTTTTGGGTTAAAATTATACTTCTTTTTCTCCCAAAGTAGTGTTTCACATAAAATTGTCTCTGGTTGTGACTAGTTTCTTCATGTTTTTTTTTTTTTTTTTTTTTTTCTGTTGGTAAGCAGGGTTAAAGTTATTTTCATTGGTCTTTTGGGTTAAAATTATACTTCTTTTTCTCCCAAAGTAGTGTTTCACATAAAATTGTCTCTGGTTGTGACTAGTTCCTCATGTTTTTTTTTGTTTGTTTGTTTGTTTTTTCTGTTTGTAAGCAGGGTTAAAGTTATTTTCATTGGTCTGTTGGATTATTATTATTCTTTTTCTCTCTAACGAGTGTTTCACATAATACTGTCTATGGTTGTGACTCGTGTTGCCACATATTATTATCCTAAATATATCACAATCATATTGTTCTTATTAATGTTATGTTTATCAGTGTTATCCTTATCATCAATATAATATTTATCATTATTGTCACCATTATTGTCTTTGTTATCATCATCACTAATGTTCTTTATTATTATCATTATTATTATCATTATTATTATTATTACTATCATTATCATTAAGATTTTTATTATCATTATAATTATTATCATTATCATTATTATTATTATTATTATCATTATTATTATTATTGTTATTATTATCATCAACATAGTTATCATTATTATTATCATCATCATCATTATCACTGTTATCATCATCATCATCTTCATTATTCTCATAACTATAACTATCATCAGCATTATCATAATCATTATTAACATCATCACCATCATAATTATTATTATCATCATCACCATTATCATTATTATTATTATTATCATTATGTAAAAATATTACATTATTACTTTTATACCATCATAATTCCTTACCTATTACCATCAATAATACAATATCATCAATCTCATAATCATTATCAATATCGTAATTATTTTAAATGTTATTATCATCATTATCATAACACTTCTATTGCAATTATCAATTTTATTATCATTATAATTATTACTTTTGTCATTATTATAATCATTACTATTATTATCATTACTGTTATCATTACCATTAACATTAGTAATAGTAGTTGTAGTATTAAATTAGTGATATAATCACTATTATCATTACTATCATTATCATTATTATCATTATTATCATCATTATCACCATCATCATTGTAATCATTATCAGTATTATCATCATCATTTATAACAAAATTTTAACCATCACCATCATCACTATCACCATTTTTGTATCTGAGAGCAGTCTATAAAACAGAATCAACAGTATTAAAAGACTTTACCCTTTTTGTTGTTATTTCCTTTTTTGTGTTATCATGTAAATCCATACAATCGTCTTAATGGTGTTTATATCAAGAAACCAAAATGGAAGAATTTTGCGCCTGGTGGAATGCCTTTCAAGCCAGTCGCGAGCCATGCTCCAAAAGACCAACACGCATGCGCAGACACACGCACACTCGCTACTGAACTACCACTACGACCAGCATGCAACTACAGGCATATTTTGGCGCGAAAAATTTCTTGTTTGTCACTGTTCGGAAGTCCTCTGGATGGCTTCTTGATAAGCATCAGAGTTCAACGCTTCGATATGAACTAGGAGTTTCGAGGAAATAATCAAACTTCCGAACAGACATACAAAACAAGAAATCTTGGTGAGATGCGCCGCCAAAACAAACCAAGAGACGATACCCGAACAAGTTCCTCCTGCTACAAAGTCAAACGTGCGCTTCCGAATGCATGGTTCTCGAGGACCTACCCGACGCGTCTCCCAAACCATGATGGTAATGGTGACTATAGAGAGGACAGCAATGCAAACGGCGAACAGGTAGTAGGCCTGCATACACCATAGGATGACAGTGTATGCTTGGAAGATGTAGAACGGGTTATAAGCCTGTAGGAAGCGTTATCTATAGACTAAACAGCCGGTATGGTTGCTTGCCATCTATTCTGAGTCAGTCTCTCTCTCTCTCTCTCTCTCTCTCTCTCTCTCTCTCTCTTCTCTCTCTCTCTCTCTCTCTCTCTCTCTCTCTCTCTCTCTCTCTCTCTCTCTCTCTCTCTCTCTCTCTCTCTCTCTCTCTTTTTTATACACACGTACTCTCTTTATTTATCTCTATTCAGTAGAGATTTCGAAGACATCATGCTATCATGTTATCTTTTATCTGTGACACTGATTAGTTAACAAAAAGTAAAATTTTATACCAAGTATGAAAAATATATGAAGGATTTCCTTATCATTTATGCAAACAGTATATACATATGTGTGTGTGTGTGTGTGTGTGTGTGTGTGTGTGTGTGTGTGTGTGTGTGTGTGTGTGTGTGTTGTGTGTGTGTGTGTGTGTGTGTGTGTGTGGTGGTGTGTGCGCGTACATATATACAATACACATACACACACACACATATATATATATATAATATGTGTGCGTGTGTGTGTGTGTGTGTGCATATATCATAATTTTATACGAAATCATAGCGATTAAACAAAGCAGACTGCACTGGACACTGGCCTGTTGGACGATTAGTTGCCAGATGGACAGAATCTCGATCTTCATGAAGTTCTCGCCGAACAGAGCCTTTTTGGCCTTCGCCGCGGGTTCGCTGAGACCTCCCGACTGCCTGTGGAAGGTGTTGAAGGTCGTCCCGTGCTCCAGGGGCCTGCCGTGGAGGAAATGATTGAGTTCCTTTCCTTACGTGTCCTTGGTTGGGACTTTTTGTTCAGAAATTATGAGGGTATTTATTTTTACTAATTTTTATGATATACCTTGTAATTTTATAATTTTGTGACATGTCTTGATTTCTATTCTTCAACCAAAGAGAAAGAACAGCTATAACTCCCGGCCATAACGAGTTAACACAATAATTTCTGAATGAACAAGCGAACCACCAAGAAAAAAACAAGATATGACCCATCCAGACACGCCTAAAAGAGAAAAAGAAAAGAATAAAGATAAGGATATAAAAAGGAACCCTTTGACCCCTGACCTCACCTCAGCCTGACGAAGGTGCACGTCGCCTCATCCCACACGTACTTAATCTTCTTGTTG